TATTGTACTTGTCAAATATTTCCAAGTACTGACCTCCCCTTCACGGGGGAGGCCACCTCACAGTTTCAGGTAGGACTTGAAGGTTGCTACCGGCGCCCGTTGCTTCAGGGATTTCCAAGGGAGAAGACGTGGTTCGTGCTTCTTCTGTTTCCTGTTTTCAAAACAATTATAACGATGCTCATGGATATTATTTTGAATAACTATTTGGGGCTTGCATGCCCATGGTTGCCAAAGTGTGGCTAAGACACTTTATTAAATGCTTCCGCTGTTTTAAATGCATGTTTTACATTATGTTTGTTTATGGATGTACTACGTGTGAACGATATTCATGACGCCTTGTATAGTATGGATGAGTTGAACTGCGGTTGACTATTCGTACTGTACGGTGGGTTGTTGACGTGGCCGGCTAGGTCCGGGGCGTGACAACAACTTTTCTAGAACAGGGGAAATATAATGTAGCAATTTTATGGTGCTACAAAATGGATGCTACAATAGACAATTTTTTACTAGTGATAGTTATATAATACACAGAGACCAGACATTTAACAGACCATTCAGATCATTTCAGACCAGACTTAAATAGACCAGACCAGACTAGACTTATACAGACTAGATCAGACCAGCAAATTACAGTCCAAAGTAAAAACATCTTAAATGTTAGATAGAATGACAAAATCAATCCAGTAGGCTTCTCAATTGACATAAATAGGGTCATACTTTTTTATGAAAAAAAAAGAGATCAAATAAAATTAAAAGAAACAAACCCCCTCCATACTAGTACAATCGAAAGTCCAGAACCCTAGCATGTCTGCAGCTTTTTTTTTATCACCCATAGACCCCGTCCAGGTAAGTAGATCATTCATCGCTACTTCTCAAGACCATTAATCGATGCTTCTTTGGGACATTCATTGTTGCTTCTCTATCACCATCCATACAGGGGCGGACCGTAGTACAGACCCGGGGGCTACCGCCTCCCCAACAAGAATTTTTTTAGTGTATATTTATGAAAAATAATTTTCTCCCTCCCAAAAAATATTTTGAACCCCCCAAAACATATTTTCGCCCCCCCAAGATGACTTTCCTGGGTCCGCCCCTGCATCCATACTATATTGCCATTGCGCTCATCCAGCCATCGCTCTATACTACTCCGCACAGATCTTCTTATTCTTCATTTTCATTCCGATTGCGGTGAGGTAAACGAGAACTTCCATCTGTGGCATCCCTTATCGTTTGTGACCAGAATGGAGGGGCATCGTCGAGTACTAAGGGTGGTCTACGGGCAATGATAAGCAATGATCCATGACCTAATGTCATGGGTCATCAACCGAGGGTGGTTGTTAGGGAGGCGATTGCAAGACGTGTCAATTGCGGTGGGGATTGGTGTAAGCAGACGTGGTGTTAATTGGTAAGGTAGGGGAGTGGTGGTCACTAATTGAGTGTTGGGTTACTAGCGGTGGTCAGTGACTGGGGTAGCGGGTGATTGGATTGTTGAGGCAGCTAGTCATTGGCCGCTCGTGTAGTGACTAGCTAGGGTCGAGGTGAGGTCACATGCAGGGGTGACATGTCACTGGGCGTCAGAGTCAGCACTGTGCGCCAAAGGCGCTGCATGGTGGAATCACTATGACATTGATCACTCTGGGGCAGAGTCACTAGGGCTGTAATCACTGCGGGCAGAGTCAGTATGACATTGATCACAATAGCGCTGTATCATGTGGGATATCATTAACACTAAGGTTGTAATAGTCCTCTTAATCTATGTAATACAATAATATCACTCCATCTTAACAAGGTTCTAAGATTTAAAAAATCAAATATTTAGCATCACACATGTTTTATGAGAGATATTTATCACAAATAGAATTCGAGTATAAGACTAAAACTATCATCTTTCCCTCCCACGTGAATTTGATAATTGTTTTTCTAGAGGGGAGTGCTAGAGTAACCTTATAAAAACTGAGGGTACCGTACCTCCTATGCCTTAAATAATCCAAATCATCATTTCCTCATTTGTTTATATTGAAATTACTTATTTGTAGTGTTTCCATTGGTCCACATAGATAATGTATGGTACTTGGTGGTCGGGTACCCTAAAAGTTTCCTTTTCTGAACTAATACTCATTAATTTCATTTAAAATTGACTAATGATTATTTCCCTTGTAATTTATATTTATGCCCTAGAATGATGTTTATCAAATTGTTACAATCCTATCTAGTCCTCTTATCTCATCTCTTGCCTCTCAGATTTCTTTGGCACTCATGGTTAGATTGTTCATAGTAATCTTCTCTTTTAATTAAATTCTCCATCTTAACGGTTTTTAAATGATTGCTCCAATTCTCTCTAATTTGGTTTTTAGGGCAAGGTGCATTGTTCAGATATAATTAGGAATGTATTTCCATGACTGTCATTGTTTTCATATTTCTCATTTTTTACAGATTCATGGACAGTTCAATCTTCTTGTTCTCCTTTAATATATTAAGGTAAAAACTATGCCAACGAAGAAAACGAGATAACTTTTGGTATTAGAACAAGATATATTTTAAGGAAGTAAGGAATTGAACACCATGAATTGATCGATCCAATAATTAAATGAGTCCACGACCCAAGAATACTAACAAAGTTATGGAGAACTTGAGTTACCATAAAAGTATATGTTATAACAGGAACATAATATACTTTTGTAAGCCGATAAAAAATAAAAAACCCTAGCTTGGGATGATTGCGGCAGCGCAAGGAACAGGTGACGATCGGTGATCGGCGTTGGGCTTTACGGAGGAGGTCCGCCGTTATTCCTTTACAACAGGTCTGGTAATTTTTTTTTAGTTGGCGGTTTCGTTCAAGGTTTTCCTTTCCGGGCGTTTATTCCGTGGTTTCTGTCCGGCTGATTTGGCCAAGAGTTTGCTATGTGCTTTCTTTTCGTTTAGTCGTTCGAACTTCTGATTTTGTGATTCATTGTGAGTCTTGTATATTTTCGATATTTTCAATTTGTTTCGAGTCGGTGACATTTGATTTGTGCTGAAATGGATATGATCTCGAAGAAGGTCAATATGTTATCCATAGCTGAGGAAGAAAACAGGGGGCTGGTGATTGCGGCTGACCCGTTAGAGAATGCGGGAGGGAATACAGGGGGCTTTAATCTAGCGGCGGTGGCCAGAGTGATGTCTGCTAAACCTGTTCGAGTTGTACGTTTCTTTTTGTCAAACAATGGCTATGGTTTGGAGGCCACAGAAAGGGGTCTCCATTGATGAAATCGAGGACTCAAAATTTTTGTTACAATTCTATCATGAAGATGACCTAAATAGAGTGGTGGATGAAGGGCCTTAGTCTTTTAAGCAGAATTTGGTGGTTATTCGACGGTTGGAACGTACTGATAAACCTATGGAGGTTGAACTGGATCATGCAGACTTTTGGGTTCAGGTTCATGATCTACCACTAAGTTATATGACGACAAAGACTGCGCGTGGCATAGCCAACAGTATTGGTACCTTTGTGCAACTGGACGAGAAATCCCCTGGCGGAAAGCAAAGGCTAGTTATGCGCATAAGGGTCACTTTGAACGTTAATTTAGTTTTATCCCGGTTGGACAGAAGGGAGACGGCTGGATTTGGGCAAACTTTAAATATGAGAGACTCGCTAAATTCTGCTTTTTGGGCAAACCTTATGCGCCATGGCTACAGGCCAATATGAGGCGGGGAGGAGTGCACCCAAGAAACAGATAGCTTATTCCTAGCAATATCAAACTGGGCGAAAGGCAGGGGAAATTAGTAGGGTCTGATCAAGAGACAGGGGAATAGGAATGTTATTTGGTGGAGGGACTCTTGTCAAAGGGTAAAGAGATTACTACAACTAGGGATGGCCCAGAAAGCATAGGATCTTTCAAAAGGACAACAAGATGGGGACACAGGCGAGCATGGATGTTGATGAAGCATCTTCAAAAAACTTGGAGGTGGTGGTGCTGCCAGGACAGCACCGCCAGTAGCGGGAGAAGATGAGGTTCTGAAGGTTGTTCCTTTAGTGGAGGCTGGTCAAACCGTTATTCCCTTAACAGTGGCCGGTCAAACTGGATTATGTTATTTTTCTGTGTTTCTATCAGTTCCGAACTCTGTTTTGTTATTCCATTATCCTTCTAGTAGCAGGTACAGCGTTGCTGTGTATGGAGTCTAGCAAATTGCGGGGTTAGCGAGATGGTCCGCTAGTAAGCGCGATTCCAGCTCTGAGTCTCACCCCAGTGTAGCCTTTGTTATGGCGAATTTGTATCTGGTTCTCTGTATTATCAATAAATAATTTATTTGTACACCCTCAGTCCTTCAACAAATTGTCAAGTTTGATTGGTATATGGAATGATAAAGTAAAAATTGTGTGGTTATAGTTTGTGTAAAGGATAGAGAAATAATAGAAACCACAAATTCTTTGACTAAAAGGGAAAGTGATAGTTTTTGGGACATCCAAAATAAGAAAAATGACAAAGTTATTGACATAAGTTTAGAACTTAGGTTAACTTAAACGCTAAAATAAATGATGTTTCATGTTTCATATCCAAACAAAGCTATTTCAATGTGACTCTACATCCAAAGTAGCCACACTTCATTGTATGTAAGTAACTATCCTTAAAAAAAATTATCCTTAAGTTCAATTTCTACTCCACACAAGCTCAAACATTCATACCCATACAATTATAAACGTACGTAGCATGAGAGGCAGGGGCGTAGCTAGGCAGGGCCGGTCCTAGGGTGGGGGGGGGGGGGGGCAACAGAGGCGACCGCCCTAGGCCCGAAAAAATAGCAAAAAAAAAAATAGGCCCAAAAATTAGAGGGCAATTTTTAGATGTGTTCAGAAATTGTATACACTATTTTCTGGTTCAACAAAAAGATGGGCAATTTTGAAAGAGCATTTAGAGGGCTTAACTTTGAAGTCATTGTCCACCACACGTTGTGAATGTCATGTGGAAAGTGTTAAAGCAATTGTAACCCAAACTTTGCAAATACGAGAAGCTTTGATTGAACTGGGAAAAGATTGCACTGATTATTCGTCTAAAAATGACGTTAAAAGTGTGCTGAAACAAGTAGAAAAGTTTGAATTCTTATTGGGCATGGTAATATGGTATGATGTTTTGCATCCCATTAATAAAGTCAGTAAATTATTACAAAGTGAAGATATGTGCATGGATGCTTGTATAGTAAATATGAATGCTTTGATTATTTATTTAAACAAGTATCGAAATGAGGGGTTTGAAGATGCAATGAGTAGAGCAAAAGGTATTGCTCTAGAATTGGGGCTTGAACCTTGTTTTCCTGAAAGGCGATCGATCCGGAGGAAAAAACACTTTGATGAAGATAAAGAAGATGATGAAGATAAGTCGCCTCAATATGCTTTTAAGTGTTTTTATTTTAATGTTGTAATGGATGCTTGTTTGGTTTCTCTGCAAAGTAGATTTGATCAGATGAAGGTTTTTCAAGGTATTTTTGGGTTCTTGTTCAATTCAAGGAACTTGAAATCATTGGATTCTGATAAGTTGATAGATTCTTGTAAGATACTTGCAGAAGCTCTACAAGATGGTGAAAAGGAAGACATTGATATGGATGATTTATTTCAAGAATTGAAAATGTTGCAAAATATTTTACCGGATGATAGGGACACAGCCATTAAAATTCTTGATTTTGTGAAGAACTTGTGTTGTTATCCGAATACAACAATTGCTTACAGAATACTGTTGACAATACCTGTGACCGTTGCCACAGCGGAGAGAAGTTTTTCAAAGTTGAAGATACTGAAGAATCATTTGCGATCGACTATGTCTCAAGAAAGGCTGAATGGATTAGCAATTTTAAGCATTGAGCATGAAGTCTTGGAAAAGGTTGATTATGAAGCAATTATTGATGATTTTGCTTCACAGTGTTCGGCGAGAAACGTTTTTAAGTAATATTTTTCTTTTTATGTGATACTTGTTACCTTTCATCAAACATGTTATTTAAATATTAATAAAGTGAATTTCATCTTTATTTTTTTACCTTTATTCAATTATTCGGTAGTTTTATTATAATCTATGTTTAGCTTATAAATTTAGACCCAACTTAGCTTCTCGTCCATAGGCCCACAAAATGACAGGACCGGCCCTGTAGCTAGGGAGGGGCCAACTCTGGTCCCGGCCCAGCTTAAATTTTAAAAATGTGTGTATTTTTAACGTAAAAAGTTCTGTATATTTTTTTTTTCAAAAATATTCTTTGTACCGATTCGGTGTCCTGGCTCCGCCTCTTTGAGAGCTACTTTTTGAACCTCCAAGCTCAGCAGCCGCAAGCTCGCATACGCACGTTAAGAGTGTGAAGTTAATCTTAACAAGCCAAAAAACCTTAAAACCTAGCTAATTCATGAAGCGAGAAATATTGTATTCATCCATCCATCCATCTTGTGTTTTGGTTTAAGGCACAACTTTAAGTCATTAACCCGCCAATTAGCGAAACAAACAAAAAATATAGGATCATCTCACTTAATTATTTGGTCGACATCTATACCTAACGAGGTTTCCTTAAAAATATTAAACAGATAATATGTCATTTCATTTCAACCAAATTACTCTTCATTACAAACAAGCCCCAGTCCAAATTTAAAATAAGTAATTGTGAGATACGAAGTACGTAGTATTTTAAAAGAATTTAACAGTTCACTGCAAAAAATCAAAAGTGCAATTTAATTAAAATTATTTAATTATTATTACTCGTACGTAGTACATACTAAATAATCATATAGTGCACGCGATCGGTCCAATAATGTCACTACATATTACCATTATTATTATGAGAATAATATGATAAAGTTTTTGAAAAACAAACGTACAGGACATAGCTAGGTTTTCGTTGGAGGCCCGCCGGTCACGGTGGCGGAGCGGGGAGGGATAGCGGAGGAAGAGGTTGTGAAGGGCGTTTCCGTTTCTTTTTCTCGTAGCTAATCCCTCTGGCTTTAGACTGGAGATCACGAACCTCTCGCAGGTAGAGCCTTACAGCTCTAGCTCCGAAAGGGTTAGTCTCCGGCTTCCCTCCGTTTTCCTCGTACGCTGCTCTGAGCCTTCCAATGAGCGCATCGAGGCTTCCCCAAGCTTGTCGGAGCGGGCACGGGCAGGGAGCCGGAGGGTTTGGGTGGCCATAGAACGGGCAAATCGGCGTGTGGACTTTCGTCTTCCCGAACTGGTCCAAGTACCGGAGGAATTCGAGCACGTGCGCTCCGCTGCACCGGGACAGCGTCAGCGGCGGCCTGTGGTTTCGCAGGTACTGCCCGAACGTATTCCAGTCCCGTCGCTTCTGATTCTCGTACCGGCTGGAGGAAGACGACGAGGATGAACCTGCTGCCACGGCCGCTGTTGACGAGCTCCCGGCGCCGGTGTTGTTTTCCGGATCCAAGCTCCCACCTTCGGCGAAGGGATCCATTACTTGAGCAGTAGAAGGGTTTCGGTCAAAACCTCATTTCATCAAATGTGTATAAATAAAAAAGTGAATAGAGAAGAGAAAGAGAGAATAATGCACACATACAGAGGGAACTAAAGGGGAAAGAATAAAGTGAGGGTTTTGATTGATATATGAGAGGGTTTCCGTTTGGGAGACTACTGAGAAGAGACAAGAGAGGGTGGAGATTAATGTCGGTCGGATATGTATGTATATGTTATACATAACATACGGTCATTATTGTGGGTTGGATGATGGATGGATGATGATGATATTGTTGAGTTTTTTTCCTAAGGAGAGCTACTTTCAAATTATTTTCCAAATTACGATAGTTTTAAGGCGTCAACTCTAGTACCTTTCTAAAAAATGGGGTATCTATCATTTATTTGTTTGGATCACATCACTTTATCATTTTTAATTTAAATTTAAATAATTCAACTGCTACATTCTCATTGTTCCATTTGGACAAAGGTATGGTACCTTATGGGTACCATAAAATCTACCTAGTTTTAAACTTATTTCTCAAATAAGGGTGTTTTTTGCCTTGTCATCCGGTTGGACGAGCCATGTCAGCGAAACCCGATTATTTGCGATTCCATATCACCCGCTCACCATGTCATGCCTTCATGTCATACCATTCACATGTTTTTTCAAAAAAAAAAAAAAAATCGAGGCTATGGGGAGAGTGGAATCCCAACACTCCTTGCTCTTCTTTGGGTCTTCATCCACTAGATCTACCAATGCAATTAGTTGTTACTCTATTGTTTTATTATTTACGGAGTACTTGTTAACTTCTTTGTTTAATATAACATCAATTGCATTGGTAGAGTGGATGAAGACCCAAAATTGAGCAAGGAGTGCTAGGATTCGACTCCCCCTACCTCAAATTTTTTTGATATTTAAAAAAACATGTGAATGGGATGACATGGAGGCATGATGTGGCGAGCGGGTGACATGGAATCACAAATAATCGGGTGTCGCTGATATGGCTCATTCAGCCGGATGACAAGGCAAAAAACACCCCTATTTAGAAAATAAGTTTAAAACTACCTTAATTTGGGAATTATAAGATTTGAAAGTACTTCTCCTTGGAAAAAACTCCGATATTGTTTGTTTAAAGGTGATGATGATATTGTTTCACTCCATAATTTCATTTTTAGTCGTCCTAAAATAGTTGAAATAATTCGCTGATCATATGAAATACTAGGTATAATCCCATCAAAAGAAAAAATGAAATACTAGCTAGGTATAATAGTGTGATCTCATCCCGTCAAAACTGATTTGATAGATATTTGTTATATACATACTTTAAAACTATTGAAATATGATCGACCTGATCTTATTTGGACTAGTCTGATTTGATATGGTATGGTTTGATTAAAGATATTCTATGTGTATTGTTTCCCTTTATGAAATAAATAATATGATCGATTAATATCATTCAATTTATTATATTCAAACTTCAATCACAATTCAAAATTTATCTTTCAACTAATTTATTAATAGTTGTGTAAAACTAAAACAAGACACATAAAACGGTGTGGTAATATGAAGTACGATATGATATTTTAAGCTCTTGTTATAGTGTTTTTATTTTATTTTATTTTGACTAGGACCATTTTTCGTCCTCTCGTTAATTTTAATTTTTTTCTATACTTAAATTGCGGTGTTTGATTGATCTTAAAAATTCTTCTATATACTGGCCTCTAGTTATTGTTCTACCATAAGTAGAAAAATTAACAAATGACTAAGATTATAATAAGCTGATTAAAAAATTAAAATTCATAGCAAATGTGTGATAATGAAGAGGGTACGTGTTTTAGGAGTAGTTATACCGTGGGAGCGGTGCAGGGTGAGCATCCTACTCCCACAGTTATATGAAATGTAAATTGTGTGAATCAACATGTAACTTCAGGTTAATCAAAATGTAAATTACACTCATTTAAATGTAACTCATTGAAACGTAAATTGCTTTGATTCAAATTTAACTTGGGAACAAGTCAGATGTAACTTGTGAAATGTAACTTTAGTCTATTCAAATGTAACTTGAGAACAAGTAGATGTAACTTGTGAAATAACATCCAGGAGAATGGAAAAATTCAGAATATTCCGAATTTGAATAATACGCAGCCCTATAGATATATGCTAAATCAAATCAAAAAATTGCTTTCAATTTTAAAAGGGTTATGCGTAAATCTTCCTGGAACAACATATTTATTCATCTCCTCCTTCCTTGAGAGGTTGAAATCTCAAAATTTCATTCGCTCATTAACAGAGAAAGAAAAAAGGAGAAGATTAGAAGGAGGAAGTCGAAGAGGAGAAGGAGAAAAAAGAAGAAGAAAGCTTACTTGTATTGTCGCCCGTCGGTGGCCGGAGATGGGGAATTGTTCTGGAGATGGCGATGGATGCTATCTCAATAAAACGGCCCTTTTGGGATCGGCACACCTTGCGTACGGTGGACCGATCCTAGGGTATAAATTGCAATGTTTTAGGTGTTTATGATGTATTCAGAACTAGTTAAGTTTATCCTTTGGATTGAATGGAGTTAACATATCATTCATACGTTTAAAAGTATTATGCGTAAAAGAATTTGTTGGTCTCGTTTACACAAGGAACAGTCTAGAGGGGGAGGTGAATAGACTGTTCTAGTTTTCAAATATTTCTCTAAGTCTCAATAGACTTGACAGAGAGGGTCGAGTTCTGGTGACAGAACTGGTCTAGGCAGCGGATAGGTTCTCTGTTCGGGTAGCCTCAGAAAAACACTAAGGCAAATGCCTTTCTGTTAACTCACAAAGGAGATCTGCTGAACACAGAGTCCTAACCTTTTAAGTTAAACAGTCAAAATCTTAATGCAGAAATATAAAGTGCGTAAAGTAAATGACACCAGGGATTTTTATAGCGGTTCAAGAAACAACGTGTTTCTCTAGTCCACTGTTCCACTCAGCTTGTAAAAACGACGAATTACACAGCCTTAGTCCTAGCACTTAAGAAGCACTCCTCGTCTTCTTCAAGTCTAGTTGTCACCCGGGATGCAATCCTTGCTTCCTGATGACTGGTCTCGTATTGACTGGGCTTCTTGAGGTATCTCCACTTCACTACTCCAGTTACTTGAGACGTCCCTTCTTTTTCAAGAAGTGTTTAGATTAAAACGGTTTCTCCAACGTAGCTTCGTCACAAAAGATGTGTAGATGAGGCTTTAGAAGTGTTGAAGAACTGGAGGAACGATTCTCTCACGTTGGAAAGAAATGATATGGAGATTGTGATCTTTTCCAATGTAAGCTTTACTCTTGTTGAGGTGTTGAAGTTGTAGTCTCAAGAGTTTGAATATTTTGCTTGTAAGAGAGTTGTTGAATCGTTAGAATCGTTAGGGATCCAGTCCTTCAAAGTATATCTTATATACTGAGAGTAGTCTTCCCGTTGGAGTGTAGAAGACAACTTCATTAAATGTTTGTACTGTTGATTTGACTGTTTGATCCTCAAAAAGCAGTTGACATGCTGTTTTGGGGGGGAGAAGATATTCGCGTGGTCAATCATCAGCTTTAAATATCCCAATGAGTGAAGCTCATTAAATGAGCATTTAATGCGCGTCTTGTAGCTTTTCCGTTGAGAGGCTCCTAGCCGTTAGGGAATTTCCCATTAGTTTTGACCGGATAATTAAGGCAAAGCGTAGAAATTCGTCTAAGTGTCAGGCAGTTCTGTTGGCTTGGCAGAGTCTGAGAGTTTCTGCCCAGAGAGTGCAACAGAAGAGCTGAGGTCTTCTGTTCCGTCAAATAATCTAAAGCATACACTTAGAAAAATTCTAG